GTCTACAGGTCATCCAACGACTTTTAGAGGCTCCGAGAGTCCTTATTGTACTCCACTGTTCCAACAAAATGTTAATAAAATAAAATAAAATAATACTTTTTCCCCCCCTTTCCCCTCCCCTAACCTTTTCTGCGAGTTGATTTTTCTTTTAATTTGGGGAGTATTTTTAGCCAGCTGTCTTGTCTGCCTCGTCTCTTTCCAGAGTGTGCACGGGGAGATAACTAGTCGTGTCCTGAGAGAGGTGACCCCCCGCTCGGTCCCTGCGAGTCCCAGATGAATCACCCGAGCCCTGTGAATAGAGGTGGTGAGTGGCCAGCCCGCCACTGCCGCCCTTTGCCACTGGCCTTCTGGCCCTGTTTCCCGATCCCAGTCAGAGGGCACGTTTTTATTACAAACCTGGGGCTGGGCTGGCGGGAAGGTGCTGTCAGGCGTTCATTGTCGCGCTCATTTCCAAACTCTTCCTGACCCTGCTGTCCTGGTGGTTGTTTGCCCCGAGCCATGCAGAGAAAACTGCTGTCTGCTGTCACCCGTCTTTCCGCTTCACCTGCACAGGGCCAGTGCCGAGCGGTCACTGGCGACACGTTGAGGTTACTTCTTCTGAGAAGCCCTCGCCCAGCCAGCCCCACAGAAAAAAGTTAGCCCTTCCAGTGCCCGTTTGTCAGCATCTGGGAAAGGACCGCGGGGCGTTGTGCGCATGGGCTTTAGGCTGCAGCTCACAAAATAAATGGTTTGGGTTCTTTGGCATTTTAACAAAACCTTAAGAAAAAGAAAACAAATTTGTTTATTTTGTAAGGGATACAAAATAAGCAGGTGTGGCAGCCCAGAGGCCATTCTCACTGGCCTGTTCTTTCTGAGAATCCCACCCTGGAGGAAGTGTGGGGGAAGTGTTTGGCCGGCCGTTTACTCTGGCTGATGGCTCCCTGGGAAGGCAGCTGGCTTGGGAAGTGAATCCCCAAGAACAGAGAGATCAGAAAGTCCAGGCTGATCCCAGGGCTGGGAGCTGCATTTGCACAGTTGGGTCTAAACCGAAAGCCCTCAGTTTTGCAGATCGGGCAGCTGTGGCCTTAAAGATAAAATGTCACTCTGCCTTGCAGCGCCAGGCGTCCTGTTCACCTTGGACAAGTCCCCTCGTCCCTTTCTCCTCTTCTTGACTGAAGCTAGCGAGTGCATGGAGTAAGTGAGCGGGACTTTTCTTCATCTTGCTCTCTATCAGTAATGTATTTTAATTGTCAGTGTCACAGGTGGGGGAGGGGCTGGTGGCTCTTGGAAGGTGAGGTTACTGAAAGAACCTCCGAATGCACAGTGCTCATGCTATCAGATTATGCAGTTGACACCCCAACATTTGAAGCTTTATTAAAATTGGCTAGTTCTCCCAAAGGCAGCAGCTAAAGAAGGCAGGAGACAGATGGGGAGGGGAGGAGGTTTGCCTGCCACAGGACAGTGATACCCTTTGCTCCCACTCTGCTTAGCTCGTCCTTCTGCCGTTAGATTATTCCTTGCAGATAGCAATCAACGGGAAGGAAGTGTGTGTGTCTAATTTGCATGAGATTATTTAAAACAAAAAAAAAGGTCTGCATTAGTCAGGGTGATGGTAAACAACGCAGAAAGATGCCTTTTATAATATAGCCTGTGCCTCAGCTTTCAGAGCCAAATATAATTCACTTACAATTGGCAGTTTCCTTTATTATTCCTTTTAACCTTTTGGATTCTGCAAGGTCTCCCTCAAAGCTCTCCTGTGTTTCTCTCAGCGGGGTTGGGGGTGGGGGTGGGTGGGAACCTGGATGTCTTATGTGTGGGTCCTATGGTAGCACCTCTTCTCTCAAGGCAAGGGCTTTTCAGCCCCTGGAGCGAGGACTGGTAGATAAGGTCGAATTCTCAGAGAGACAAACCCCCCCCCCGTCCCCCCCAGTCTCCGAAAGTTCCCAGGAGAATCACTTGAGTGATTGACCGGTAGGGTCCTGAGCCTGGTCAGTCCCCTCTAAGCTGGGGACACTCCAGAGGAAGAGGACACTGGGGAACCGTAGGCACCAGTCTGTGAGAGGCCTTTGGATTTACTGGGGGGTTGAATATTAGAACGAGGCGAGGTCGCTGTACCCTTGTCACCCCGGTGATGTTCAAAAGGTCCACGTGTCACTGGCAGACAGGACCCAGGCGTTAAGTTCCTGTGTTGTTCTGATAAAGCTCCCACGGGCTCTTACCTGTGGACGGGGTGCCCGCGTGGCGATGGGAGAAGACAGCTTTGCCGCGTCTAAACCTTTCACAAGACTGAAGGCTTAAGGCTTCATTTTGCAATCTGCCCTTTGATGTTTTGTAACTACTACTGTGAGAAATCACCAGGCTGGAGGCGAGAGCATTGCATTGTCATCCAGGGGTACCATGCCCTAACCATTGATAGCATGATTTGAGGCAGGGTTTTCACCCTCCTAGGGCCTCGGGTTTTTTTGTTGTTTTTGTACCTGTTAAATGAAGGCAATGGTGGGGATAATGGTCCAGCTCTGAAATTATATTATTCAGTGAGATCATTAAAATGCTTATTTTTTTTTAAGAGAAGAAAAATGATTCACTTTATGTAACTAAATCAAAATCCTGACTCTGCGAAGAACTGGGAATATCAGAATCGCAGCCAGTGTAAATTCAGAGCATCAAATGATAAGGTCTCGGGAAAACGAGAGCTTGGAAGGATGTGCTCATGCCCTTTAAACTGGGGCCTTGCTGGTGGGCCCGGCTGCAATAATGCAAGGAACATGTTTTATTAGGAAAATAGGCTTCGTCAAAGCTCAGGGCCAGAGGGCAAGAACAGTGGGCAGGGAGTCCTGTCCCTTTAACCAGCTCCAGCGCTCGGGGCCGCAGCTCAGCCTGTAACTTACTGTATATTTCCCCAGCGTTAAACATTACCGTACTTGTTTATATTTGAAAGAGCCAAAAGGGAAAATGAGAATGCAACTGAATGCTCCTTTTGGGAAAATTATCCTCATTTGCAGCCAGCGGCTGACAAGGCGCACGAACCACCAGGTTTATAAAATTCCGTAGTGTACCAGTGACCATCCGCCTGTGCTGACGTCGCATGTGCTGCCCTCTTCTCTCGTGGCTGATTGCGAGCGAACTGGTTACAGCAGTGTCTGTCCTCCTGGAACCTTGAAAGGGGTTCCCCTTCTTGTGAGGAGGAGTGGCTGGCCCACGCTTGGAGGAAACGTCCTCTGCTTTTCCCTGGCTCTTCTGTGTGTCCTGTCCTGTTCTTGGGAGGGGAGGTGGTAAAGCGACCCCTTTGCAGCAAGCTGGGGACTTGGGAGGAGGGACGCCCCCGTCTAGCCCCCGCACTCAGATTTAGCCTTTGTGTCTGGAAGGTATAAGCAGGCGCCAGTCAGCGGCCCTCTCTGTGCCGAGGCAGGCTTTTCATCTGCCCATCAAGCTGCTGAGAACCTGGGGCGCTCAGGGCCTGCCCGGCACTCTCAGGCTTCCCCGAGGTGTGGCCGGGCTGACTCCACCCTGCTGAGCCTGGAGACGAATGGCTACAGTGTTAAATGGGGTCCGCTCTCAACTGCCAAGCGCAGAGGGAGGACAAGGGGTCCAGGGCCCCCCTAGAATGGCTCAGGCATTCTCCCTTGACCGCTTGCGGTGGGGCCCGAAAAGTTTGAGGGAGGGCTGCAGCCAGCTCACATGCCGGTGCGGTGCAGGCCGCGCTGTGCTTAGAGCGTTAATGTGCTCTGTCTGTTAGCCCCTTGGCACAGAGCGCGAGGCACCAGGCTTTGGAAGATGCTGACCCTCAGAACCTCCTTGTGCTCCCTCCACCCCCAGGAGCAAATATCACCACGCTGTGGGCCTCCCATGGAGGCTGCCGACCAGATGTGGAAAAGCTCCCGGCTCTGGTGTAAAAGCTCTGTGTTGCGGCTGGACGGGATGTGAGGATTCCCGGAACGGCGTGGGCCGGCCGGAGTGGTCTTCTGCGGACTAGCTGTGACCTCCCGCCTGCCTTGCCACTCTGGCGGCTAGAACACAGTGGCGCACGCGCACCGGGACTTCCTGCGCTGGCCTGTGGGGAAGTTTTTCTCACCCTGTGCGCCGTGCTTCGTGCTTCGTTCCCATTCTTCGGGTTGGTCGGTGCCCCCATCCGCTTCCCATAGAGCCAATGTCCCCAGGCTGCATCAGAGCCACTGAAAACACTCCAGCGACGTGCCCGCTGGAGATGTGGTCTTCATGGGCTTTTCACTTGCCTTGTGTTCCTCCATGAGCAAATCCTCTCCACGTGCTGTAGCCACTGCAGATGGCGCCCTGCTATTTCCTGATGTCCCGTGCGCAGTGTGAGTTAGAATGTCAGGAAGATTAAAAGAAAAAAAGGGAAAAAGAAAAACTAGCCAAAGGCGATATAGGCAGCCTATGATAGGCTAGAGTAATAATCGTCTGAAAGTTTGGGCCTGGCCTTGTTTTGATCTGTTTTCTTGTTTTATTTTCTTCTTTACATTCTATATCCCATTCATACTAATCACAGTCAGTCCTGATTTTTCTTTTTATTTCTGCATTTGTCATAAAATAAAGCAAATTATTCCCGTCTTCGGAAACGATCTAGACTAATTAGTCGTCTCACCCAATAATTAGTTTTTTGTTTCCCTGTCTGTTTTCATGCATTATTGTTAGTTTTTTCCCCTCTTTTTTTAACACCATTACAGATTAAAATGAGCCACATTTGCAGTTGATGGTATCTGTTTTCGGGGGAAGAATGGAGAATTGCAGTACTGAGCGACTTCAAAAGCAGCAATAAACTCAAGGATAAATTAAGGAAATTGAATGAGCCACATTTGGAAGCAGTGTTGAGGCTAATATTCTGTCGCTTAAGGTTAAATTGCAACTGAGAGAGGTTCCAGAGAATCCGAAATCGGGCAGGCATCTTCCCAGGATGTCAGGCGTTCTGTGGCTCTCAAGGTCCTTTCTCAATGCAGATTTCGTAGCAACCATGGACAGTGGCAAAAGGTACTTACCTGCAATTATGTGCTCTTCTCCCCCAGGGCTGACGGAGGAAGAGATCGATCTGGCTTTCCAGCAGTCCGGCACGGCGGCTGACGAGCCTGCGTCCTTGGGCCCAGCCACACAGGTGGTTCCTGTCCAGCCCCCTCACCTCATTTCTCAGCCATACAGTAAGTCACCTTCGCAAACCCCTGCTTTCCACTGACTGGGATCCCCGAGTTCTGCCAAAGAGCGGTGCTTCCCATCTCCTAGACTCAGCAAACTGGGAGAAGGAGTAGCCGGGCGGCGCTTGGGTTTTCCCAAAAGAATGTGACACGTCCAAAGCCCCTTCCACACACACTTTTGGGTATGTGACAAAGGTTTAAGAAGAGACAAGGGACCAGAATGAATGAGTTTATTGCACTGTGTCACTATGTGGGTTACAAACCCATCTGTAAAAGTACGCACTGGTTCAGTTCCCACTTTCCTGTATCGGTGCTTGTGCGCGTTACGGTTTCACTAAGAAGACGGACGTGGCTCGTGAGCAGCGCCTCCTCGTTCGCCCACTGGCAGTACTCGCCTCCTAATGTTGTTTTTTAAAGTTGATTATTACAGGAGACCATGACCCACAGGAGGCTTTGTTGTTTTTAAATGAAAGCTATTTTAGGAATAAAGGTTCTTCAAACTAGTAATAAATGTACACCTCCAAAATATAGCCAGAACCCCTTCTTTAAGTCACTTGTACAGAGTTTAAAAAGGTTAAAATTGACTCCAAAGCAGTGGACAATCACTCAGTTTTGTGTCTTTAGCGTAACTCAGCCTTGGTTCTGTTGTCTTTCAAAATGCCTTTTCTATGATTGTCTTCATTTTAATCATCGGCCTCAGAAGTTACATATTTTTTCCAAAACATGATTTAAGAGAGTATAAGATACCAGACTTTTAAAAGACGTCATTTAAAATGCCAGACTTGTTTTGACCCCACCACGTGGTCTGGAGCTCCCTTGCGGCCCTCAGGCCCTCACGTCACTGTCCCTGTCCCTGTCTCCGCCACAGCTGGGGAGGCGAGCTCAGGGTGTAGATGGTGCAGGGGCCGGGCAGCGGGTTAGAATCCGCCTTGCGTGTCTCAGATCTCATGTAGAGCCCTCCTTTCCTTTGCTTTCTGGATCAGGCTGAATGGGTGAGGCCAGCTGACACACCTCAAGCTGCTGTCACCCGTGGTCGCCCTGTCTAACAGACCGCTGGCGTCACATGACCGCTGAGACCAGAGAAACAGCGCCTCGTGGTACCTCGTGTTGGTGCTGCTGAGCCAGTCGCCGCTCGTTGTCAGCCCAGGACCCATGCCTCTTTCCTGCCAGCGTTCTTTGCCATCCATTTTGGTGTTTGCTTTGGGTCACTAAACACACTCTGAGTTGCTTCTTCACCAAAGGCCAAGTCTCCACACTTTTTCTTTAGTTGTGGCCCTGGCCCCGCCGTTTAATGGGATTTGTTGAGGACGTGCGGTGGCAGCTGGGGTGCAGACGTTTCTGAGATGCACAGCTGTCCTAGTCCAGCTGTTTCCTCCATGGCCTAATATCAAACAGGTCTCTCGGCTACTTGGAAACTCCTTGCTCAGAACAAGGTGTTGTGGTCGGTCACAGAGTTGGCCTAAAACAGCCTGCGTTTTTGCCTGCTTTCAGGAGACACAAAGGGTTAAACTTCTGAAAGAGGCAAAAGAATGGGGTGGGGAGGGGCAGTTGGGTCCCCATAAATCATTCTCCTGTCCAGCTGAGAAAAAGCATTACCCGGTTAGGTATTTAGGTAGGAGTATTTTTAAGAGTCTCCCAGCCCTAAAAATAAAATACATCTTCTCAGAGACAGACTCCTTCCCGCTTTGACGCTAGTATAAAAACAATGGTCATGGCCATTTTAAATACCTGGAGTTTTTAGTTGTCGCCTGCACTGCTACCCTGCTGCTTTCAGCTCCGGGGTGACCCTACCGCTTCACTTCTGTACTTTTGCCAAGAGGTGTCAAAACTGCTCCAAAAAAAAAAAAAGCTTGATTTTGATTAATATAGAGAAAGAAGACTTTGCCTGACTGATAATAAAACTGATAAATGACATTTGAATTACTTGTAGCGGTAATTTATTACATAAAATATCTTTTATTTGACATGCGATTAGTTGCTGGAAGCATCACTCAATCTGACTAGTTTAAACACGCTCTAAAATGAACCCCAGTAAAAACCCGGGCTGTCTGCTGCTGGCGTTATGAAATATACTAATCCCGGAGTGAGGAAAAAAAGCCTGACTTTAAATATTTAAATGATTAATTGGGTTTATATATTTTTTTTACCTTTCTAACCCCCTTAATTACAAGCAAACTCAGGGGAGTTTCTGAACTAGGTGTGCAATCTGCATGCCCGTCACCGAGGCATTGTCTGCGTCCTGGGAGGGATTTATAGCCTCCACTCTGTGTGCTCTGCCGACTCGACATCTGGAGCTCGGGCAGCCCTTCTCTTCCCACTTCTTGGCTTTTTAAGGACATTCTGTCTCAGAGCCCAAGCCTGGAAAATGGGCTCCTCTGGGCTCAGCTCCAAAGGCAGTGCTCCCAAATTGTCACCTCTGGACGTGCTGGTCCTCCCGCCTGGTGACAGATGTCCCTCTCGGCGCCTCTTCTGATATTTGCTCTTTGGTGAATGTGGTTGACCTTGAGCTGTTAGTAAATACCGGCGGCCGCAAAGAGAACAGGAAGGCCTGCCAGCATCTTCAGTGCATCAGTGTTTATTAAGCACCTACTGAGTGCTTAGTACAGTATCGTGAGAGTCCAAATATGATCTTTAAGAATCTCACAGGCTCTCTGGGAGATCAGATGAACTCTTAAGAAAAGGATAATACAAGATGTGATTTCGTGCCCAAATTAATTATACTGACAAGGAATTCCACAAGAATACAGAAAAGAGAGCTAGAGAAGTCATAGAAGGCTTTGTGAGAGCGGTAGCAGGTTGACACCAAGGGGAAGCCGGGTGTCACCTGGTGTGAGAAGAGACCAGTATTGTCACAGTTTAAAAGGAAGGTGGATAGAGCTGAGGAAAAGCCTGGCCAAAGCTGGAGAGGAAATTTGACACCCTCTGCTTCCCATTTTGGTTTTGTGTTCGACTTGGAAGCAGGAATCAGCGTGTGTGTGTGTGTGTGTGTGTGTGTGTGTGTGTGCGCGCGCGCGCGCGTGCGCGCGTCCTGCCTAGCACATTCCTGAACCGAGAGTCCTGATAGATGCTTGCTTGATTGATTCATTCCACACTGATTTTTCTTCTTTCCTCCCGGAGAGACAAGAAGCAAGGTAGCTTTGAGATATAGGCAGGGCCAGTGTGCAGTTTGTAGGATAATAATTTTTTCTTAGACTTATTTTCCCTCCACTGTCGTTGATAAACAATTTCGGCCTTTCAAAGACTGACCTGTAACTTCAGTTGCCTCCTAAAATGGGATGTAAATGTCTGAGGTTGGGGAAAGGTTTTGACATTGCATTCGAAATCGTGAGGGAGCGTGCGTTCTTTCCCGGTGTGTTTCTCGTACAGCCCTGTTTAGTAACATACACTTACCCTTGATTGTCATAACTCGCTGAGCATTTATTATTGAATACCTGCTGTGTGCCTGGCTCTGTGCTAGACCCCTGGGATGAAAGGACTAACATGGCCTAGCTAGCCACTCTCTCCAGCTGCTCCTGTTGCCTAGGAAAGGCAGGTAAGCAAACACAGCAGTGCCTGTGAGCTTGGCCCAGGTGAGGACGGTGGCCCAGACGAGGTGAAGGGGTGCTTCAGGTAGCAGGAGACGGTTAACGGACCTGGGGGGAGGATCGGTTCAGTGAGCAGGCAGGATGGACGACAGCACCCAGGCCCAGGCACCCGGGCATGACACCACGCTGTGTTTTCAGAGCGGCTGTGAGATGAGGTGGCGAGAGGCAGGCGGCAGCCAGGTCATCACCTGGTGGGGGTGAGTCTGAAGCACGTGGAGTGTTTTACTTTGAACTGCACCATCTGATATTTTTGAGGCCGTGCTCCCTGTGTGACTGTGGTATTCTTAGGCTAATGTGAACATGGTTTGTATCTTCTGAGCAGATGCTGTGGGGACGTGGGGAAGGCGCCTGGGAGTGTGTTGGGTGAGGCAGTGGTCCACGCGCTCTTCTCTGCCTGGCTGGCTCATTGCTGCTCTTCAGGGCTGGGGTCAGCTGCAGGAGGTCGACCTCTCAGATGCTTGCATTCGATAGCAGCTCCCCTTGGCACTCAGCCCCCGCCCCCCACCTCCCCTACTCTGAATTGTTTAGTCACTGTCTTCCCTGTTCAACTGTGAGTTCCTTGAGCTCAGAGACTTTTTTTTTTTTTTTTTACTCTATGACCTGAGGCTGTAACTTAGCAGGTGTTCTAGAAATACTTGTTGAATGGATAAAGGTGATGGAAATGTGCTTCAGACCTGAAAGGCTGTCGTGTGATACCATCAGCTGCGGGAGCCTGCTGTGTGCTGGACTGGGATGTGCCCGCTGCAGAAGCAGAGGACAAGCCTTGCCTGCAGGAGGCCACCCATGAATGCAGAGGTCCGTCCCGGTGCTTGGAGGGTGCAGCAAGGCTAACCCATGCCCCCTGTGTGGTGGGAGCTTTCAGAATTTTCCAACAAAGGAAACTCCAAGAGTGCTAGTCTTAGGGGAGGGAGGCCTGAGGGAGGAGGCAGGGCTTGACCTTGGCTGGCCCTGGGGCAGAAAGGAGAGTATCTCTGTGCAGAGCGTACAGCCAAGGCCTGGGGCGGGGCGGTGTGTGTGTGTGAGGAAAGGCACCAGGGAATGGGAAGTCTCTTCCATGTCTCCCGGCTGGTTCCGCACACACACCTCACTTTTTGCTACATACAAGTTACTGGTTTGTATATGAAGAAAGTATTTCTCTAATTTTTGAGGAAATTGTATTTTTCTCCTGTTGTCCTTGTGACTGGTTTAGAACAGCAGCTTCTCAAGGGCCACCACCCTGCCCGTTTGGTTTGCTTTGTGTCATACCCAGTGTGGTGCCCTGTGGGTGCCAAGGAAGTGCTACCTGTGGACATGCAACCTATGGGCACGTGTTGCGGGAGAGAACCCAGGGAACGGATCCTTTCCGCGGGGTTCTCGGCCCTGAAAGTCTGTGGTGTTGGTGGTAGGTAGGATCATGGCTGTGCTGCCAGTGCAGCCTGTGTT